CCCACTCAAACCTTCTGTTTTTGACCACAACCTTGTACTGAACTATAGCTTAAACCCACCTAACTGACCCTTCGCTACAGTAAATCCCTCCTTAAAACTACTTACTGAAGCCATAGCCTTGTGGGTAGCGCTCTGACATATAGCGTTTGGGCATCCGAGTTCAAGTCCTGGCATGTGGTCCGTTCCCTTCTGCTCTCCTATTACATCCTGTCTTTGCTGCAACTGCCTTATCAATAATAAAGGCCTAAGTTTTATTGACTAGCCTAATTCTACCTTAACAACTTTTGTTGTCCTTCATTTTCATAGAAAAGCTTTTAATTTCAAATGTAAGTCTATGGATTGTTTGAACCTTTGGATAGTTTTTATGGAAATTATCCAAAAAATGTGTTAAAACATTGTAGCCAGCTTATAATAGAGACACAGAGAGGATAAAAGTGGTCTTTCTTCAGTTCATCTTACAGCTCTCTTACAAAAGGGATGTTCTGTAAAGCTTGTCTGAATTAGCAAGGAGGTGGAGAGAAGGGTCAATCACATCAGTTTCAAAAATGATCAGCCATGCTGGCTAAAGAGAAACACTAATGACTATGAACACGGTGTCCCTATGTTCTAGACTAGAGTGATAGAGGCATATGTTGTGCCTAGACAAACTTAATAAGAGTGATTAAATGGAGACTGATGTTGATGCATCTCTCTCATGGCTTGAGTTTTCTGGCAGTGTAGGACTTTTTGAGAGCCTCTTCTATTCTGGAACAACCCCAGGATATTGGGCATGACATGTTTACAGAGAAACTTATTTATGCGACATTAGGTTCATAAATCTTGCTCTGTATTGTTGACTTCATTAAATCTCATATGACTCGTTGGTTAGAGAGAGTTGTGTGTTGTGACTGATTTGCTTTTGAAATGATTGCTGACTGCATAGTGTAGTTCCATTAGCCCACATCCGAACCTGCTGAGATGGCACAAGCTCATTCATGTGAAGTCGCTAAGGGTTTCGTTTACCCTCCCTTCGCGCCCCAGCCAGAACACATTAAACGAACCCCTGTGTTGCTCACGGATCAGTTGACCCGATCCGTGGTGTTAGAAGTGTTCTCATCTGATTTAATTGTGGGAGCAAACTTAGGGAAAACACACAACCCATGGCTGACAGGAGATGTTACCTCTACAGACAGTACCGGCAGGACTAAATAGATTACCTCTGCAATTCAAAACAAAGCACTACGCTGCTTATCTGCGATCAGGTGTACATATTGCACTCTTAACCTCTGCTTGTGCTCATTAGAGCTGGTCATTGGGAGGTATCGCAGCCTCTCGTATAATCTTACACAACCGTCCATTACGGCTCTCATGCATCTACGCCTCGCATCCAAGGTAACCTGACTCTCTAATGAAACACTCTCTGGTCTCCCGTGTCTCTCCAGTCGAATGGATCCCCTCAGGGACGTACGAGATGACAGTGCTGTTAGGATATCGCTATAGCCGTGTCTATCGGAAAGCAGAAACCAGGCATGCAATTTTTTTTTCTGTGGACAAAGCTGCTTGTAAATATACCACCCAAGACACTGATTTCCTTTGGCCGTAGTAAAAGGATGTGTGTTAGACTGTGACTGGAGGTCGTCCAGGGGTCTATTCAGCTTGATGTGCGATTAGCGATTCCCTCCGCCCACGCAAAACGACACCAATAATTGAAACGGCTTCCCAGCAACCTCACACTTGAACAACAACAGAAGCCCTTTTAATGGCAGCTCTGTTCATCTGCACTTCGTCAACCACCACGTAAACACACTTCTCGTTGTATAGTACTCACTGGCTTTGGCTTCTTCCCTGTGGAGACGTTCTCTCTCTCTTTATATCCAGTTGGGCCATTGACTGTGAAATCACACTTATCTTGGATTAGCCTTCTGCTGTAAACCGGTGATTTATGCTGTCTGGGCCTCTATGTCTCCAATGTGAGCTTAGAATTCATTTATAGGATTACATTTTTAGTACATAACTATTATAAAAAATAAATAGTTTTGTACATGTTATATTTCTGCATGAAACCATTATGTTAGTTAGATATATCAATGTGCACCGGACATCAATGCTTCCTTAAATCATGTTTCCGTGTAAGGAGAGTTGTGCTACCACTACATGTTTATCAGATGTTAAATAAAATGTTAAAAAATCCTGCAGACTCGAGCAGGGACCCGCAATTTATAGAGACCAGAACTTGAGGGTGGCCTAATTTGACTTGGGACAGTAAAGGCATTGATATACTCACGTCTCACGGTGAAGTTCTTCGCTTAAGGCCCCAATATACTTCGAGCGAAATCGAAGAACGAACTGCTGTGACATCGTTTTGAACAAAATCAAGCCAAAACGAACTTTGTTTGGAGTTCGTTTTGGGAGTTCAAAACATCTTGCCAAAGGGAACCTTCCGGAAAAGTTTGCTTCGGCTGGTAAACACATTTGTTCTACCATTGGTCCGTGGCGATTACGTAATGGGTAAGTGTGGTTCTGAGGCTCCACCTTCTTTCACATGGAAATCTTTTCCGCTTCATTTCTCTTCCCAAGTCCATTGCGATCAAACGTCCGTGAGTGAAAACATGAACAGACTAGTGGAGCAGGTTTATAGTAGAAAATGAAGTTGTACTTCTGATGAAACGAGACACTGACACTGTTTTTCATGTTTAATATGGTAAAGCTGCTTGATTTTAAGCAATTACTGTATAAAGTGCAATGTAAACGTGACATGACTTTACTAGAGTGCTGAATTGCAGAGCTCGTGCAAACATATCCACATTGCAATGATCAGATGCTTTTCTTAGGCTTTTTAAAAAAAACTTGCTGTTTTCTCAATTTTGTTGTGTTTATTTTGTTACCGAGAGGAAAGCACGCAGCACATATTTACATATTCATCTAACGGCCGCTTTCAGCTGTGTGGGCGGCATGAGATGATCGATAACAGTATATCGCTGGTCATGTATTTTGAGCTTCGATTTACCCCTTAACAGAGAATGAAAAAGAACTTCGCCGTGGTATATCTGGGCCTCTAGGGGTAAAAAGAAGTTTGAAATACCTTTGCAGCAGTATACTGTTAGCGAACATCTACATGTCCTGGAGATTGTCATACTTTTTAAAGATCCATGCCCACACATTTCAAATTGTTCCTCTGCCTCCATGTGTGGATATAGTTGGGTATAGTTGAAGTAGGAGTTTTTGCTTTACTTTAGCTGTAAAAAAATCTCCTCTTCTGATGGTGAAACTGATCTCTGCTGTACTGACCTAGACCCCCCCAAGAGACGGACTAAGAGGGCTGTAAAACTGACTGAACGAAAACAATGCTTTTCCAGGCGGGAAAGCAAGGAAGGAGAGGAAAACAGGAGGAAATGAACCGTTCTCTCCAGCCGATTGTGCCCCTTTTTGATAAGCGAAGGTGTTTCCTCCAGAGTGAGAGAGTTGTCCCAGCAGGCCAGTGTTATGCATTGTCTTGAGAGCGAGGTATATAAATGGAAAGAGTAATATTAGGTCTGGGGAAGTCTCCCGGGACCCTCCTGAAGAAACGGGACAGGAGGGGAAATGGAGAAGTGGGTCTCTGCACTAAATGTCGTCACTTAGCTGTCCGGCTGTAATAGCCCCCTGCCACTGCATTTCCTTGTGTTGCACGTCAACACATTTCTGCTTAGAAATAAAACGCTGTGACCCGGACCCCTCATCATGAGGCCAGTACTTTTCATTGTTTTTATGGAATATGATCTCAAATTGATTGTCAAAATGAAAATGCACAGACCAGCAAACGTCCTCAAAATATAAAGCTAGCCTGGCTCTGAAAACTATACAAATCCACTATTAATAATCTTGTGTGGAGACTCTCGCTCACTTTTGCCTTCACGACAGGGAGAGGCTCTTTGTTTTAACCTTCTGAGGAAATGCACAACATACTTTGGTACATACTTTTAGGATTTTGGATTCTCAGACAGGAAGTTTCCATGGCACATTCATAGCTAGGAGCTGCAGCCATTAATATTTGAGTGGAAGGGAAACTTACAGCATAAAAGTAGCTTCAAAATCCTTCTACACTACGGTTTAGATGATAAGAGATTCTAGGGTGTGGTTACGGGCAGGTTCACTATCAGCAGCAACACAATATTATCACAAATTCACAATATGATGCATATACTGCTTTCAAAGTTGCATACTCCCTGAGTAGATACTTTTTAAATGAGTCTTAAAACCATTTAAAAAAGTGAGATCTATGACTGTAACCCGAACATTCGTAGTGTCATTGTCATGTGGCCTACCTGTGAGTTGCCTCACTTCACTTCCATTCACAAATCCTCTCTTGTGGCCTCATGGGATAGTGAATTGTCCATTGGATGCGCACCTCAGAATCTCGCCAGTAGTAGTATTTCATCTACTATATAGTAGGGAAGAATGCATTCAGATGTAGCCATAGTCTATTATTACAAAAAAAAAGTGAAAGTGGCATTCATGGAATTTGCCTGTATTTAACCCATCCAAGTTAGTGCACACACATTAAGAGTAGTGAGTAGTGAACACACACACACACAGCAAACCGTGGACACACACACCCGGAGCAGTGGGCAGCCATTTTTGCTGTGGTGCACGGGGGGCGATTGGGGGTTAGGTGCCTTGCTCAAGGGCACCTCAGTTATTTCCTGCCGGTATTGAGAATTTAACCCAAATTATGTGTCTCATTTGAAATTCTAATACAAGCATCACTGTTATTACAACTCCGAGTTAGGATTTTGAACAAGCACCTAACGCTGAGTATTAACCATTAGTGTTATGTACATGAATTAAACCTCAAATTCTGAGGTGAAAAATCCCTTAGCAATGCCCCAATACCCTAGTAACCACCCAGCAATTCTCTAATAATTACACTGATTTGGCAACCACTGACCAACCCTAGAATTGGACAAGTTTTTCATGTGCAAACTCACATTTTCTTATCAAAAAGTGTAAAGATCAATCTTTCTCTCTTTTTCATCTCCCAGCTGAGAAGGTGTCGTCATTGGGGAAGGACTGGCACAAGTTCTGCCTGAAGTGCGAGCGCTGCAGTAAGACCCTGACAGCGGGTGGCCATGCTGAGGTAAGACTCACTACTAGATTTCACACTAGTTGGGGAAACTCAAACTCCAGCAGCTGAGTATTGACTTTATGGCACTGCACGTTTCCATCAGAGGATCGGTGCTCAATTTGAAGAGTCCAGCACCAGGACTGAGGCCTATCACGTGGCATTATGTGTGTCGGGTGCTAGCATGACATAAACGCTTTAAGAGGTAGTAAATATGATACAATCATGAAAATACAAAGGCAAACCAAACTGTCACAAAGCCTACTCCATGCTACAATAAGCATGTTGTAATCGTGTCTCGTGATGATGCTCGTTTTCAGTGATTTGTTGAAAACTTGCTGGCCAGCTTTGTACGTCCTGAGTGTTCCTGTGTGCATGACTGTGAGCCAAATTAAATTCTCCGCGACCTTCCAGCATCCTGTTACATCACACTGTGATGACTGTGTCTAGATCAGAATGGCAGCAGAGGGCAAAGGACAGGGCTGTGATGTTTTAGAGCCAGAGGAATTGTCGTCATCATGTTGCCTTGAGTCTGTATTCCACAAGGATAAGAGTAGGAAACAGAAGTGTTGCATTTACTTCAGGAAGAGTCACAAATAGAAGGAATTCTCTCTGTAATCTCTGTGTAAGCATATTAACATCACAGCTCACATCAACCTAAATCTGGATGTAGGTCAGGTTGCTATGTTGAGATTTCTGTTGGTTGTTACATGGTACAGGAATGAAGTTGGGTTTGTGAAGATGGGTAAATCACAAGACCATTGATTGTGGTTAAGATGATCACCCCTTAGTGCCCTCAATGGATTTAAGCAGGGTAAAGCGAGATGATTTATGGGAATAGGGGTGGATGGGATTCTTGGTTCTGGGAAAAGTGTGGGCTGGTGAGCTCCTCTATATGACCAGTGAGAACTGTAATGGGAGCTGGTGGACTAAGTGTTGTATCTGACTTAGACATCACACCCACAGACTATTCACTGTCCGTCTAATGCATATCGCACACAAAAATATTCTCAAAACAGCAAGATCTGATCTTGATTTTGCAATTTACAGGAGTCAAGGGGTGTGCAACAGAGGCCCTGTTTACACCTAGAATTAAGATGTGTTTTGATCGATCGGATCACAACACAAGTAGACGAGGCAGACACATTCCCGTTTACACCTCGTGTTTTAATCCGTCTCTTTTGTCCAGTTTCAACCACTTCTGTCTTGATTTCTTTAAAGGGAGAGTCTATGAGCAGGTAAATGTATCGTTTTTTGTTTTTTCAGATCTATCGATCTAATGGACAAAATAAGCTCAAGCAATTTACACATGAACGAGCACGGAGACAATGGAAAAATATATACGGAGAGCAGCAGCTTTAGTTTCTGCTCTGAAAGCCGCAAGATCACTGCGAACTCTGTGAGTGCGAGTTCGAAATCAGAAATGGTGAAAGAACGTTGTTATTGGTACGTTTTTCGTCTTCAAACCAAACTTGGGTCTTCAGCCGACAAAGTTTAAATCCTGTCTGGCTAGCACGCTTCCCATAATGTTTACGCATTAGTTTGGTAGGAGGAGAGTAGGGGCTCACCAGCAGCCATATCACCCTGTAGCCCAAGACTGGTTGCCCACTGAAGCTAAGCGGGGCTGAGCCTGGTTAGTACCTGGATGGGAGACCTTCTGAGAAAACCAGGTTGCTGCTGGAAGAGGTGTTAGTGAGGCCAGCAGGGGGCGCTCTCCCTGTGGTCTGTGTGGGTCCTAACGCCCCAGTATAGTGACGGGGACACTGTACTGTCAAAGAGCACCGTCCTTCGGATGAGACGTTAAACCGAGGCCCTGACTCTCTGTGGTCATTAAAAATCCCAGGATGTCTTTCGAAAGAGTAGGGGTGTAACCCCGGCATCCTGGCCAAATTTGCCCAGTGGCCTCTGTCCATCATGGCCTCCTAATCATCCTCATATACACTAATTAGCTTCATCACTCTGTCTCCTCTCCACCAGTAAGCTGGTGTGCGGTGGGCGTTCTGGCGCAATATGGCTGCCGTCGCATCATCCAAGTGGATGCTGCACATTGGTGGTGGTTGAGGAGCTCCCCCCTTCTATGTGAAGCGCTTTGAGTGCCTAGAAAAGCGCTATATAAATGTAATGAATTATTATTATTATTATTATTATTATTATTAGGGGCTCTTTTGTGGCTGTTCGAACACATTCGCCCACATGAGCGTTTACACCACGAAAGCAGTCCGGACAAATGCGTTTTCGACTACTTTTCGAAGTGGTCGAAAAGTGGACAAGCTCAAAACGTTTTAGACCCCGTTTACACCTGTATTTAGCGTCGTCCACTTGTGATACCATCGACCAAAACGCCTCTTAACACCAGGTGTAAACAGGGTAAAAGTGGGTGAGCTGAAGCAATAATAACCTTTTAGACCGTTGACCACCATTTGCCAATGCAGAGTGACTCGATGTGGTGATTTACTAATGGGAGTGCAGATAGTGAAGCTCACATGATCTGCCATTGGATACTGCAGTCAGAGTTAGAATGCCTGCTGGCAAACTAACTAGTAATTCAGAGACTTGGTGACCTCCAGTGATAAAAACGCTGTGTAACAGCATCTTTAGGGTCTAAACTTGGTTCTTTTTCAATCTGCCAGGAATCCAAATGGTCAAGATGTGCTATAGTTAGCGGTTTCACAGAAGAACTAGTCACTGGATTTGATGTTTATGAGGTTGATGGCATATAATCTTTTAGAAACAGCAAGTATATTTCCTTGAATATAAGATCCTATAGGATCTTTGCTAGAATAAGCTGTAAAGTTGACCAGACTTTATGCTAAACTTAGGAGTGTTGGTGAAGTCCTAAAATTCCCTGCTAGTGGTCTGGTTGGGCTACTACTTCAGGGTCCTGATTGATCTACACCAGAACCACCTCTGTAGTACTCCTGTGTAGCTTTTTTTAGTTTGTTGCCTTTTTTAGAAGTATTGATATGTTACAACATCATCAAGTTTTCCATCATGGGAATTGAGGCGGGAAGGTGTCTGCTACTCTTTGTTGGAATGTGGGGCTCATTACGCATTTTTCCCCCCCTTGCATACTTCTGTACTGGCATATGGCCACTGTTCTCTGCCCTTTCCGTTCCTTTATCCTGACCTGCGCAGCTGAAACAGTCACACAGTTGCCGTCTGACGGTTCCCATGGCAACCCTTTCCCGCCATGGCCCTCACCAAAGGGGTCTGGGAGCAACTACCACTGAAGAATGTTCTGTCCACAACCTTCCATATACACACACACAGAGACACACTCAAAGCACGCAAAGACACATAGAACAGCAACGTAGACTAGTAACTGCTCTGAGTGTTATCAGGGAGAGGACACCAAGATAAGCACCGTCTGTGACATTTATTGTAGGATAGTGTACAAGCAGCGGGTTAAATCGGAAACTTAAGCCAGCAAACGCGCACTCATTCACTTGTAGAGTCTTGATTGATGGAATATAAGCTTGCATTGACTGGTTTTTATTCTGTTTTACATCCTCACAGCATGATGGGAAACCATACTGCCACAAGCCATGCTATGCTGCCCTCTTTGGTCCAAAAGGTGAGATAACACAATTAGCATTTCAAGTCGAAGTCATGTAGACCTTAGACCTTATTGACAGCAGCGCCATCTTTGCCATTTTTTAACAGGAATGAAAGCGAGGCTGTAAGGGATAGACATACATCTCTTCATTGGGTTGTACTGGTATTTAATGTGTTTTTAAATTGTTATGCTGATGAAACACTGCAAAAATATCTTTCCAAGAAACTTTAATGGAACAGAAACTCCCGACAACATGAGCTGTGGAAAATTATAAGTGATCTATAGGAGCTTTACAGCTTTTTACAGCGCTATCCCGCACAGCCTTGCTTTCATATCTGTAATGGCGCTGCTCTGAATAAGGTCTATTAACATGGAACTAACTGTTCTGATCTCTGCCCATTTATATACAGTGTATTAGGTTGTGAAATGATTGATTTGACTTAGATTTTTGCTCTCTGGTACATATAGCCCATGGCAAAGAGTCTAAAAAATGAATAAATGGTTACATATAAAACATTGTTATTCTGAAAATAAAGAGTGCCCTCTGCTGGGCATTAGGAATCTTCTTGTTTGGAGAAAGACTGGCAACTGGCAACACTTTACAATAAGTATCAATGTTATTAATGTAGCTTAATGTTAGATTATATACTATTGTTCATTGTTAATTATATATGTACATAGTACATGAATGATGTGAAAAATCCCATAGCATAGGATTGTTAGTTAATACCTAATGCATTAGCTAATTGTAACGAATGAACATTTTGCATGATAGTAGGATATTTTCATGAAACCCTGTTCAATATGTAGGTGTGAACATTGGAGGTGCAGGATCATATGTGTACGAAAATCCCGCCAACAATTCCCCACCCGGATCCACCGTGGACTCCGCACCCAAACCTCAGGAGAAATGGGTCCCAGCATCTTCAAAGCTGCCATCTAAAGGTACAAACAACAGTAGAAATCAGCAGCAACTGACTTATTCTGATCTGTACTGAATGTGTAAGCAGCAACATAGAGGATATCTCCCTTTAGCTACAAACAATTGCGTTCTAAATGTTTTGCAATATGACGTATGACAAATTACAGTTTATTTGGATCATAGAGTGAATGCACCTTTCATTTCAGCTGGAAGCATCACCACCTTCTCTGGGGAAGCAAACCTGTGTCCCAGATGCAACAAGAAGGTCTATTTTGGTATGTTTCTCTCTGTCCTAATAACATTTCATACTGTGTCTTGGATTTTAATTATAGGGAATGCATAACAGGAAATGTAATGGAGCTAGCAGAATAACATGTTCTTGTACGTACTTACGGCAGCTGAGAAGGTGACATCACTGGGGAAGGACTGGCATCGCCCGTGTCTGCGCTGTGAAAGATGTAGAAAGACCCTGGCAGCTGGCAGCCACGCAGAGGTGAGAGGAAAATAAAGGTTGCTTATAGTAGAAGTGCATAGATGGATGCCATGTTCCTTTTATTAATTCTGTCCATGTAAAAGAGGTTAATCGAGAATCAATTTTACATTATAAATCCTGAATAAACCACAGGGCATCTGTGGGTCATTAGGTAATAAATCAGTTTGCTGGAAATAAAGGCCATTAACAAGTATTAAAATCTTAAGTTACAATTCCCAGTTTGTTTGTTTTTGTTGTTTTTGAGAATTTTCTTCGGGAGTAAGGATGTACAATTAGTCGTAATAAAAATGAAATCTCAGTATGACTTTCTGTGATAATTACATTGTGTAAAACGAATATTACTTTGAAATAAGGAAATAATGCTTTACATACTGTATATGCATGCACACAATCAATTTTTTAGCTGATGTGCAGGTCTTAAGAAATGAAAAGGCATTGAAAAAAACGTAGTGTATTCGTTTATTAGTGATGATACCTATACAATTATCAACTGAATGCATGAATCTGTCCTAAAATGTGTTTTTATGTGTTCTAGCACAATGGTCAGCCCTACTGCCATAAGCCGTGTTATGCTGTCCTCTTCGGCCCAAAAGGTACCGTGAGACTTTTCAACTCTAGGGGGAGCTATTGCTTAATTTTCGGACAATAATCTGGTTTCAAAATAGTGTCGTTTTTTATTAGCATTAAAGATAAAGCAATTTTTGATCTTCTATTATCCTCTGCTTTCTTAATTACTTGATAACTGTATATGTCCTAGTTAAATTGGTTATCAACCCAGTCTGATTGACTCTTTTGGATTTCTAGGTGTAAACACTGGTGGGGTTGGCAGCTACATTTACGACAAGGAGCCCAACACTGAGGCTCAGCCTTGATTTTCAGTCTTTGGGAAGCCCAACTACACTATAACAACAGCCACTACCAGTACCTCACGCACTTTCACATATTGCCCCACTTCTGGCCTTATCACGGATCTTTCTGCAGAAAAGTGACGCCACATGCTACAACCATGCCTTCAGCTCCAACTGCACCACTGACAGTCCCTTGGGCTCTTCTTATTGGTCCACTTGATAGTCCTCTACCCCAATTCCAACTGTCCACAACAAGAGGAAAATTTGAGCTTCGTGATATACACACACTGGTCAACATGATCGTTTCTGACTTGTCCTACAATTAATTTTAAGATCATTTATTTAATTGTATACACTATCTTTGTTTGTGTAGTTATTACAATGTTGCATATAGCTCCCCTACAAAGGACAAAACCAAGACCCCACTTTCACAATACTGCATGTACAGTAGGATGTGTGTGTAATGTGTGTTCTAGTAGCAGATAAAACAACAGAAGTTCACTTGGGGAGCTTTGTTAATGCAGAGGAGATATGTTTGAATATCCTGCTGACAGAGAGCAGAATCTCTCCTTAGAGGCTTCGTGCAGATGCTTTCAGGAGCACATCATCATAAATCTAAAAAATATTCTCAAACCCAGATTTACTTTTTGGCTATATGGCAACATTCCTGAGTTTTAAAAAAAATGTAGGAGAAGTTCTTCAGGATGTACACGACAGTAAAGTAAAATTGCCAAGCTCCTATTTTTAAGAGGAGGACAGATCCTGCTCCCGGAGGGCCACCGTCCTGCAGAGTTTAGCTTCAGCTCTAATTAAATACACCTGAACCGGCTAATCAAGGTCTTCCAGATTACTAGAAACTTTAGGCTGGTGTGTTGGGACAGGATGGAGCTAAATTCTGCAGGAGCAGCCCTGGACACCTCTGATTTATGGGGTAGCTGGTGGAAGTCCACAGGGACAGTTGGTGTCCATGTGATTGGTGCTTGTTGACCAAGTAGCTGCAGCTAATATTTCTGATGCCAATCTAGTACTGTTACATAACGCATGGAAATGGATTAAGGAAAAGATAAATCTTTTGTGATCTGAATATTAAGATGAACCCCAGTTTCTCAAAGTGTTGAAACTGAAGTATTATGTTTCCCTTTAGTTTCTAGTAAGTTCGACTACATTCTTACTGAATGTGCATTTGTACTCTATGACTGTTATTATGATTTTTGCTGTATCAGGCCTATTTTCTTTTGAGAACTTTATGCAGAGTCTGCAAGTCAAGTCCTGCTGCTTCTGTATTTAATCCCATAATAAAGTTTACATAATGCTTTTCCCTCGTTTTGGATCTCTTATTTAAGTCTAGCTGAATGTGACTGCTGTATTGAGACATGTTATAACAAGACACGAACAATATGGGAGTGAAGGTAAATTGGTGTAGATGATCTTGAATGCACTACCATTGTTACTATTTTCCATGAATAATTGTATTTATTATATCATTAAGTGGACGAGAATTGTGAATTGTGCTCTAGTCCTAAAAATAATTTTTGTAACAATTTTCCTCCATTTTACAATTAAGGGTTGGTTTTGGGAATACTCTTGTGATCTGAGTTTCTCCAGTTAAGGCTATATTCAGTCAAATTAGACCTGCTCAGTTTTGTCTATGTATTGATTATTATTATTATTATTAATAGTTGCATACATTTGCTTCAAAGAAAAATGTAGAACTGTGTGAGTCTGTAGAGCATTTGTGCTTGAGACTGGTATATTTGAAACCTTTTTTCTTTTCTTTTTTTTCTTTTTTGAAAAAGCTTTTATGAATAGAGCTTCATTCATTATTATTTTTTTTAATTCTGCTTTCAAAAGAGTTTCAAAATTAGTGAAATTTAGTGGGGAAAAAGCATTTTCTGTGACAAAAACAGTGTGACTGTGCAATCCCAATGCAAACAGAAGAGTGGATAACCTCTACTAACAAATCAAAGCTGTAGAATTGAAGATTTATGATGCCGTGATAACTGTCCATTCGCATTCAACATGTTTAGAGCTGTGACTGTCAAACTCGCACTCTTTGATGTTCTCAATGAGCCTGTGGCATGTTTGTTTTCAGATTACTGCACCTTCATCATTCAATGCCATAAACGGTACTATTTTAAAGCTACCATTGACTTACCCATCAAAACTGTCACTGAATGCTGTCATCTAGTTGAAATATTGTAGGTGTGTTATCATTTTTGCTATAAAGACATTTGAAATATCTATTTTTAAATGTCAGATAGCAACAAACATGGATAAAAAGGAATTAAAGACAATAACGATGGTTGTTCTGGAATTCTCTCAAACGTTATTGGATCTTGTTCAAAGTCACCTGATGTGTGAACTTTAGGGAAATGCAGCCACTAAAAATAGGATCATTTGGCTCAGAAAAGTGAATTTAGTTCTGAGAAAGGGTTTAACATCATTTGTTTGCAAATGCCACTTGATATTCTGCCAGTTTGCCAATGTTGTTATCTAATGCAATTAAACTCATACATTTTATGAAGTGTGGCATAATTGTCCGGATACCTTTTTGGGGCCACTGTTTATAACCACAGGAAGAGTAATAATTGTACACACATGGTATTTGACTGAGAGTCAGTTGCTGTGGAGTTTAACCCTGACATCATTGTAATGCATACAGTAAGTGGAGTAAAGCAGCCATTACAGTTTCTGCCTACACCCTGAGAACTGGTAAAGCTGCTAAAAATCACCCCAGGCTGAGGTGTATCAACCACTGTGCTAATCTAAACACTGTAGTAAATTCCTTTAAACTGTCGAAACTTCCTTCTTACTGTGCAAACTGTAGCCTTTCAACAGATTATGCTGTAATGCTGTTTTGAGCATTTCTATTCATTTTCTTCATCTTCCAAATTTGGTAAGATCCTAATACTGCAGTTCTGTCTTTAACTTGACTGGACAGTGGCTCCGTCCCTACACAAGGGAGCAATTTGGTTACCAGGATACACTTCCGGTCCATTCCCAAACGTTTTAAACTCACTCAACTCCATGAAACAAACTAAAAAAAAAAAAAACAGCCTCTGCGAAGTGGAAATAAATAAAAACAGTCACATTGGCAACACAGTCTGGTTAGAAATAGAGCATCATTTAAACATATTTGTAAGAAAGACTACTCACTTCTTTGGGGCAAAATTGTACAGTAGTAAATATTTCTGGGTGCAAAATAAAGGCTTTTAATTTACTTGAATATTTTTGAATGTACACTGTATTGACCAATAAGTTATGACAACATACGTTTTTACATTGCTTTAAGTCATCAAAATAAGTTAAGCAATAATACAAGATTCAACTCATTTTCTTAAGTCAGTTTAATGTCATTTAAGTTGAATGACTTAAACATCCAAATTGATTGTACTTAAAAATACAGTGTACATTTTTAAATAAACATTTGCTTAATTTTCATTTAAGAATGTTTTTAATTTCCTCTTCTAGTTTTGTGGGGGGAAAGTATAAAATTCATCCACCAGATGGATAATGTCTGCTGCACATTTCATTTCTCAACTTGGAACAGTTTGGCTATTGTCAGGCTTAGTTCATCAGCACTTTGCCCAGCAATAAAGGCCAGACCCATGGGCGGCACTGGGCAGAAATGGGTGGAAACACTCACAAAAAAGTGCAAAGATTCTATTCTTAATATTATCTTTCATCATGCTCTGAATGAGTGTTTGCTTAGTCTAATTTCTGAAACGGGATTTTTCTATACAGTGAAAAGCCCATAGATTCATCCACCAGATGGTTTTCACCTAAATAAAGTGACTGTGGTATGTGGAGTTTGAATAGGTCACTAAATTACATCTAGGACCAAAATCAGTATCAAAAGTACCTATTACGTCATCTCAGGGTTGACCGAGTTCGTCTCCATTGAATTGAATTATTTCACAGATTCCTGCTAAAGCATTTAGTGAAGTCAAAGACTCAATAGAATGATAAGATCTGTTTTTCTCTAGTGCTCTGGAAGGCTTCACTTATGGTCTCCATAGAAAGACGTAGCAATTTATTTATAGCAATAATGTATAAATCTTCCAGACCTATCCTGAGCTTTGAGGTTAAGCAAAGGTATGCCTCTATGGAAGCCGCAAGTAAGCGTGATTTTAACTTTATTTTAAAAGCATTGTCTAATTACCAGTAAAGAACAAAGACAAAGTTGCTTTTACCACAAAAACACACATTTCTGTCAACCTGTGACCGTTCACTCCCATGAAGCTTTGGAAAAGATTGAGTCAGGCTCAAAAGTATTTTATACTCATAATCAATGATTACAAATGAGTAGTTTTAAATACAAATGAATAGTTTTTGATACATTTTGATAGATTTTTTGATGGTTTTAATAAATACAGTACCATGTATTATTATTAATTCATAAACATCTTTACCTTTTTTGGAGGGTTGCACCACATGACATTTACAACTTGAATTGACCTTGACACAGTGGTATTTTCAGGGGTATTTTCCTGTTTTATGTTTATGCATATTTTGCATGTTGGTTGCAACCACATTTTCAAGAATTTTAACTTTTTAATTAGGCTTTTTTCTTCATTATATCAGGACAGTTGTATCAACCTAATAGTTTTGACTTTATTTAAAAAAAATACTTAAAATGAATTGTAGCCTGTATGCCTTATCAGCACCTTAGCCAAACGGATGTTTTCTATCCTGAATGAATGAAGTCATCGTTTGGCTCCCGTAGAACCTGCACATTAACTGCATGTGTTTATCCCAGATAATGAAATTGTTAAATGTCAAGACAAGGGTGAATGCAATGTCTGCTTTTAATAAAACTTTGCCGGCTCTCTGTGAAGTAGCACTTTACTTAACATACAGAAAAACTCTCCGCATCTGCATAAACTACTGTAATTCAACAAATCGAATCATTCAACGACTTTGACTGCAAAATCAATGCAACGTCAATGATTTCTCTATCCATCATTGTCACACACTGCAAAGCCTTCAGCACTGACCTGCCTAAAACAATCTTTTATTGTATATTATCCAAGTCTCTTTCACTGCTCAGTGTGTTTTCTTTTCTTTCCTCTCGTAATGATACACAGATGTGCATCCGCACTGGCATGAAAACACTTTATGTTTATAAGTCCAATTTCTTTCTTAAGCTGCAAGCGCATGCCACATGTGTTATTGGGATTTGAATGTTTGGTGCATCATGGGAAATTCCCTTCTTTTTGTATTCGTCTCATTCCAGCCTGCAGGGAAAAACTCATTACTGATATTTAGCACTGTAAGCCCTGATTTTCATAACGCCAGCGATGATGAAAGAGAGCAGAATGCATGTCAAAAAGC